TAAACATCTCAGTTTCTCTGATACTCCCTCAACATATGGAATGACCACTGGTCTGGGTCTGGGTTCCTCCTTTTCACCTGTTGGCTGACTGGAGTCCTGTTTGGGTTTCTTCTCTGCTTTCAGGAAGGCCCAGTTAGGATATCCACATTGCTCTAGAGCCTGTTTTGTGTAGGATGTCTCCTTTTGCCTGGCTCCCGAGTTAGTGGAGATGCTGTCTGCTCTGTGATACAGAGTCCTGATGACTCCTAACTTGTGCTCCAAAGGGTGATGGGAGTCAAACTGCAAATACTGGTCTGTGTGGGTGGGTTTGCGGTACACCTCAGTTTGCAAATGTCCTCTATCAGAGACTGAGACCTCACAGTCCAAGAAAGCCAACCTGCCATTTTTTACATCTTCTCGTGTGAACTTGATGTATTTATCCACAGAGTTGATGTGGTCAGTAAAATGTTGGACTTCCTGAGATTTGATTTTAACCCAGGTGTCGTCAACATACCTGAACCAATGACTTGGTGGCTTTGTTTTTTTTTTTTTAATGTCCAGAGGACCAGATTTAACTTTTTTAGATTTTTCTACCTGGATTATTGAGCATGCATCAGGATACAGAAAGAGATTAATTCTTATTCTCTAGGCTCCATAAACTATGTTCTGTACTAAATATTGCCCTTTTCAACCAAATGAAGCCACTATTATGTAAAAGTCCAGTCACACTGGGCTTTTATGTCAAATTTTCTTTGTACAAGATGTGCAGAGAATTTAAATTACAGTCCCTTCTCATCCATGGTGGATGAGAATGTGTATTCCTTCCGCTATGGTTGAGAGACTGTTTTAACCTTCCTTCATGGATAAGATTGTTTACGTCCTCCAAGATGGATGAGACTGTTAGCCTCCTTTACTATGGATGGGACTGTTTACATCATCCACCATCCCTCCACCATGGATGATTACTCCTTTCAATAAGGAGTCAGTTAGCAAGGTGAAGGGTAGGGTACTCAGCACATACCCTTGGGTGGCCCCTGTGTTCAAAGTGATAGTATTGGCTGTGTTTGTGAATGGTCTAAACCAGTGATGTAGACCAGTGGTCATTCCGTATGTTACGTGAGTTTCAGAGAAACTGAGCTGTTTGTTTTCAAAACATGACATCCCAGTGGCTTTGAAACCCCAAAATTCATTATGGCAGACTGGTCCATCCCAAAGATACAGTCCCCCGGCACAAATTATAACCAATAACCTTCAGTACCAGGAGGGCTGTGATCAGTCATACATCGGGGAAACTAAACAGCCAATGACCAAAAGGATGGACAGGCACAGTACTAATTGTACTAATCATCAGGCCAGGGCTTCATGGTCTATAATCATCTGGAGGTCAGCGGTCACTCTTTCAGGGATGAAAATGTGCACATATTTGATAGAGAGGAACATTGGTTTGAGAGGGGAGTGAAGTAAGCCGTCTTCGGGAAAATAACATGTCCATCATTCAATCAACCTTTATTTAGACAGGGAAATCCCACTGAGCCTCGAGGACTCATTTACAAGAGAGACCTGATTTCAACAAAGAAAGATGACAACAATGGACAACAACAATAAACAATTATAAAAAGTCATAATACAGTTTTTTTTTTGTTTTTTTTTTACAAATAGGATGGCTAAAAGGAAAAGGTAACAAATAAACAAACAAACAAAAAAAAACAGCTAGATTCTAAGGCGAATGTAGAAAACTAAAAACAGAAACATGTCTGCATTGGTCCCTGCCAGGAGTCCAACAGATTCTTAAAGCCACTTAGAGAGGTCAAGGCCGAGAGCTTCAAATCTTTTTGTAAGACATTCCAGGAAACAGGAGCGGAGTAGGAGAAGGCCCTTTTGCCTAGTTCAGTCCTCATTGAGGGAACACTGCAGGTAATAATGTCCTGAGAGCGCACACTGTAGCTGCACTCATGCAGAGACATGTAGGAGGAGATGTATGAAGGCAGCAGACCAAGAAGTGATTTAAAGATGAAAATGTACCAGTGAGAGAGTCTGTGTAGTGAACCTAACCTAAGGTCAAAACCCTTGACCTTAAGAACCTTGTGGGACAGAAACTGTCATTTCATTGATCTGCATCCAGAAATACAGTTTGACCCATCCTGAGACTTTCTTTCTTGAATTAATCAAGTAGAAATGACAATTCTCTATGATCATTACTATTTTACAAATGTTTTGATAATCAAATTGTGTTAGTTCAAACAATGTTTACAGGTTGAAGAGAACTACTCATTTTTATTTTACATAAACAGTAAGTAATGATTTTTATTCCTCATTCAAAGAAGAAATCAGGGTAATATGCATTTCTTGATTTTGCTGTCTTCAATGAGCAAGTTTGTAAGTGTGTTAAAGTTCAGGCTTCGGTCAACTAAAAGGTTTACTGAAAAGAAATGTCATGTTTAACTTTCACAGCAGATACTAGGAGGAGAGACTCCACGAAGTCTGAAGTTCTCCAACAATCTTTCTGTCTGTTTTAAACAAACTTAATCTCTGTCCTTGACTTTCCATAACACCTTACATCACAAACCACACCTCTGTTCTGGTCCATCCACGAATCAGAAAGCTCTCAAATGAACCAGAAATCGAACCCATTTAAATGTGGCAACTTCCCAGTTCTCTTAGAGAAGTGTCGTCTAAAAGTTCCGTTGTCGTGTCGAGACGAGACGAGATGAGTAGAGCTTTGAAAGAGTTGGAGACGTAAAGAGTTCAGAGTTCTTGGATGCAAACGCATTCAAGATGATCCAGAGACGATTTTGGGGATTATAACTTCTGTTTGGATAACCTCACACGACTCCTAAGGGTTTGGCTGTCCTCACGGAGACGCTGAAAGAGTCAGAAGGGAACTCTACACCGACGCTGATTCTATCATCAACCAGGTAAAAGTTCTATTTCGACCAAGCGTACCGTGGGCCAAGCTTATTCTCCAAAGAGCGTGTTGTTCTGGTACCACAGATAAATTCCCTCACACATCTCTCTGTAAGATAAATCTCCATTTTCATCTTAAACTCTCCTTTCTCCTAAAAATTAATCCAGATGTTTTCATTAATGTCTGTGGTGATGCAACGGAAAATCATGGCCGTATGATTTTCCTGATTGTAAAACTGATTAAGTCATGTCTGCCGTTTTAACTGAAAAGTGAAAACAATCGCCGTATTCTCATTTCCTGTAAAACTATGCTGTTGTTATTTTCATATTTTGCCAAATTAATGTAAATGTTTGATGTTAAACTTTGATTCTGTAAATAAATGACCGCATTCATTTTGATGGGTCAAAGATAAATAACGTCTCTCGTTACATTTCTGTTAAATTCAATGCACGACATTTACACAGTCAGAAAAATGAAGAACCCGTGAAATGTATGAATATATCCAGTATATGTCATACTACATATTGGTGGCCCGTCTACGTGTTCATAAATGACTGTGTATTCGTGTAAAGATTGATTTTACATGTTGGCATGAAGAAAAATAACAGTTTGTCAGCTGTGATTGAACGCAGCGTGCTGGAGCTGCCGCTTGGAGAAACGCTGCATGTTTAAGCGTGTTGGGCTGTGATGCTCAGAAAGCTAACAGAAATACTGCAGCTAGTGATGT